CATACACACACTGACACACTCTTGAGTAAGAGACTCGGGCATGTAATCGTATGCACACATGCACAAACACACGCTTAAATGAAACTCCCAGCAAAAAAGTATTGAAACCGATGTGTAACGCTGCACGTGTGGATGAGATCATTAGCTGACGACTCATCTAACTTTTCATTATGTATAACACCCAGTAAGAAAATACACACACTCTCTCACACAAATTTCTATTTATACCCATCCACTCATCTCTTCATATATCCACCCATCCAACAATCACGTCTCACCTCTCATATACACACACAAACCTTCAACCAACCACCAACTGACACACGCAAGCACAAATGTATTACACCCCCACCCAGACAAGAGAATGATGGTCGAATAGATGTAGAGGACACGGGGCTCTATGATGTGTAGAACAGTTCTGGTCAATGGGCCAGATAATGAGTTGCCATAAACAGCAGCAGTCTTCCACTGTCCAGCTCAGCTCATTACCATAGCTAGCATATGTAATCAGTGTGTTGCTGGGGCGTGTCTTAATGTACTCTACTCTGCTGTTTCTCAAAGACAGGGTTGGGCCCACAGGGTGGGTCACGAGAAGGTAAGAATGGATCAGTGCATCATCCTCAGGAAACCTTGGTGATTAGTATTCAAAGCTGTAAAAGCCAAATAATGACACTGAAGTCTTCTTGGTTTCAATTTACGCTAAATAAGCAACTACAGAGACAATTATGTGGTACAAAATACTGTTATGTATATATCAGTATACTTATCAAATAAAATATAAACAACTACTTTGAAGTATGATGGCAATTTAATCTCAAACACTACATAAAGCAGTGAATTTCCTCTTCTGTGATTGACTTCATTAACATAAATCAGTGGGAAAACAAAACAACAGAGGGTATACAGTATATGGATACTTTGGAGGCCAGAAAGCTGTCACTGAGACGTAATTAGAAAACACGCACACACCCTCACACACATACAAACACAATATCAAGCTGTGCACATCCTCATTAACTCCATGAGTATGATAAAACACGATTCTCTCTCATCCCACCCAAGATTCCATAAAGAGGAGATAGTAATTCAAGCTGCAGACACCAAATCTCTAATTATAACTTTATTTGAAGAAAACAAGGGAGCACTTAATAAGCAAATGAGAGTGATAATAACTTGGAATATGGATTGGACCTAACAGACTAGATTATAGGGGCGAACCCCTGCCGAGAGAGAGAGGGGGAGAGAGAGAGCAAGAGAAAAAGAGAGAATTGTAAATAATGTGACAGAACGAGTAAATTATGAGGCTAAAGACTCAAAGCTGTAATTATGTCTTTCTTTGAATAGAGAGAGATGAGTGGGTGTGAGGATGATCGGATTGAAAAAAGTTAACTGCTGTCCTCATTTTTCCTTTCTTCTTCCCTCATTTGTTCACATTCACTGACAACGCAGACACTTTTAGTCTTTCTTTCTTGGTTTTCCATTGTTAAGTGCATTAAATATTTGGATGGTTAATGTTTTTGGTTTATTTAAAACCATAACAGGATCCCTGTAATAATTTCATGCATTTGATCAGTTCACAAATCAAGATGAAGTGCAACCTGGACTGTAAAAATGGTGGCACTGGAAGGACTTTAAAGTCAGAGGAAAATAACACTAGTGACACCATGATGGGTCATAATTGCTTGGAAATTGAGACATTTTTTTAGCCATAAGTTTGGAAAAGCATAGACTTAATGAAGGACTAAAACATAATGCTAAATTGTGAAATAAGAAGATGGATTACTTGTTTTTAGAGCTTGACAGGTAGAAAGGACTAGAAAACCAACTTTAGGGCCTTTATAGATCTCTTGCAATGTATGTGGATCTCTAAATTCCAGAGTATTAGATGTGATCATATAGTCCCAGGAATCAAAAACTGGCTAATGTACCCTTCAAGGTCATCTTCTTTTTCGCCTCTTCACTGCTTCTAGCACTCCAGATGTTTGTTTGTTTTTTAGATTTGTTTGTCAAGTCCCATTCAATCTCTTTGCTGGATATCCTCCAGTCTGTTAATCTGATGATCTGTCAACATGAACTTTATTTTGGCGAAGAGGCCAGAGTCAACACATCACAGTTTAGGTAGTTTCTGCCAAATGTTCTCCCCAGATCCCTCAGGAAATTGTAGCAAAACTCTTTGTTGCAAGTCTGAATTTGGCAGACTTTCTCACTGCACTACTCACGATTCAGGTTGCATTCCTTGTCTGAATGTTACTTTGAGGCCTGGACACCATTAACTGGAAACTCTTTGGTGTCTAAGTCATAGCAACCGGTTAGCTCAAAAACAGTAGTTGTAACATTTTAGCACAAAGTTTCTTAATACAACATTACAACAGTGAGAACTTTATTGTGGTAAACTTTTCACTCACATGAGAAAGGAACATAAAATACAAAGTCAGCTTTAGGTGGAGAAAGGTACAGCATTGGAGTGGGTCAAGATTTTTCACTCATGAAATTGGGTTTCTTCTGTTTTAATAATTAAAATAAAAATATTACAATTATTTTTATAGGCACGATTTAGTGTTTTTTTATTAAAATGATTTTGATTGATTTAGGCAACTGAACTACTTGATTATCTAAAATACAATGGTATAGGCACTTGACCCAAATGACTCGGACTTACATTTGTCACCTCTTAGTTGTGTGATTAAGTGCATGTAAAATCCCTGCCCATTTCAGAGAGCCAATACCACCCATAATTAAAAAAAGAAAAAAGAGGAGAAGCATAATGCTTTCCATGATCCCAGCAAATAATCTGAACTCATTACAAGTCATCATGTATTAAACGCTCTTAAAAGAATAACAGTTTCATCAGATCTGCTGAATACATCATGGACATTGCACTTGTAAATGGTAAGTTATAATTTTTCAACCCCCATTTAACCTATGATCCTGGCTCTCACCAAGGTCTCCTCTCCCTCTTTTCTTCCCTTTCTCTCTATAACCCATTTTTCCCCTCCACCCTCTGTCTGTTTCTACATCAATTTCAAATCTCTTTAGGTTTGTCTTGAGCTACAGGATATGAAATTGACTTGTAAAGAAGAGACAAGTATTCACAGAGGATTTTGCTATTCAAGGTTGATTTCATTTTATTTGCTATCAGAGCTGTCTGTCTGTTTGCATGTTAAAGATACGAGCTGAGTGTTCGTGTGTATGTGTTACTCTATGATTTGTGTCTGCCATTCAGCCAGCTGTACATATGTCACACAATCTCGCTTTCTATACATGGTTATATTTGACATATGCTTAACAGGGGCCAGGGGGATCGCTTGCAGCACTGCACACTTAGGTAGATGTGTGTGTGTGTGTGTCTCCCTGAGCAGCAGTCTGTGGTCCTGTACCAATCCAGTGAAGTTGTCTGAGAATGACAGCTTCATTATCTTCTATGAAAGTGGGACAAATTGAAACATGTCTCTCTATCACTCTGAGTGTAAGTATGAAAAGCTGAGAAAATACAAACATTAACACACATCCACATATTGACACACACATATACGCTTCGCTTTTCTTTTTTTCATCACCAACTTGTCTGCAGTTCAATCTCTCCACTAGCCCATAACTCTATTTATTTATTTATTTCTCCTGAGGAGTGTGTGTGTTGTGTGTGTGGCAGCTGGGACCAGTAAGTGATGACTGTATCTAAATGTTGATCATTGGGAGATGCTCTGTTGTTCTGAAATGAGGTGGTGGGGGATATGTGCATGCATGCATGTTTTGGGAGTTTTCTGGCAGATGTCAAACAGTTGAGGCTTCCCACAGACCTGCTGACAACTCTCTTAGTAACTGGGCACCTTAGGGGCAAGACAGGTGTGTGTCTGTGAGTGTATGTGCTCGTGTGAGAGAAAAAAGGAAACAGACGTGACCTACCCCCCTCTATTTCATCCCATCTGCAGCCTGACATCTGACAGGGACATCACACCAGGCCAATCCACCTTTCTGTGTGTGTGAGTGTGTGTAATTCCTCATATCCAGTAGAAAGGTAATAGTATGTAAATGACCCCACATATGTCATCTATGAGAAGACGGGGATGGACACACACACATACACACACACTATTATACGCACACACTTTAATGCCCTCAGGGTTGGGGGGTCTCGGCCTCTGTCTGATGTCTTTGGGTCAGTTTCTCACACTTCTGACAGGGTCACACACCTCTCCTCTCATTATTAACTTGCAGTAAAATGCCACATAGCCAAACAGAGTGCATATATAGGTGTGTGTGAAAGATTAAGTCACAGGGAGAGTATATGTGAAGAGAAAAGCTGGAAAGCTGTCCGTGTGTGGGAAGGAAAATGAAAGACAGCGACGTAAAGAAATTCAGGTACATGTAGGAGTGTTTAGAGAGACTGATAGGGAAAGGCTGATAGAAAGGGAGTCACTTTCTTGTTTGTGCGTATGTGCACGTCCTTGGGGTATTACCTATCATATTAACAATTTGACAGACTGCCCAGACTCCTCTCCAATTTCCCGTCAATCAAGCACATTCAGCCAACGATATCTCACACTAAACAGTGAAACCACCCTGGTACAGTTTAAACATGCTGCCCCTGTTTAGGACAGTTTAATGTATATATATGAGCATTCAGCGCCATTTAGTAGTTTCAACCCTCATGGCTCCCATCTGCAGCTATTTCCCTACAGACGCTTCCAGCTGCACACTGGTGGTGTTCACTTTAATTTGATTACATTATGTAAAACTGCCACAAGAGAGTAAAGAAATCATAAATATTTTATTTTATTTTAGCATTTTTTGTGTGAAAACTAATGGATGAAGTGAATATATATGTTTTTTAAAAGAGACCTAAAATGAATATACTGGAACAGCAGAATAAAAGACTGAGATGTAAAAAACACATTGCACCAAAAGACAGAGATGTGTATGTGCTTACACAGATATTCTGGACTTTACTTTTTGCTCCCATGATTCACAGTATGCTGGTAGAATTATAAAAATTAAATCCTCTCTAAATTCCATCACAGTTACTGACAGGATTATACTCCATCACTGTGTGTGTGTATGTGAGAGGGGGAGAGGAGACAGGTGATGAGACTCCCACACTCTGGTCACTGCTACACAATAGGATTAAGACCAACACATACCTGTGTGTATGTATGTGTGCTAGCTGAGCAGTGACCATTGGGGAGAGTCTCCTGAATGATAAACAGTGTGTTCTTCTGCCTTTCCTTTGTTCCCTCTTTCTTTGTCTTTATCTATCTCTACATCTATCTTTCCAACCATCTGGACCCTTAGTCTACCCCCCACCCCCTACCCATTAGCCCCAAGTGCCAATACATACAAACATACAAACACACGTAGAGTACTTCACATATGTACAAGATGTATTTTGAATATGTTATGTGTGAGTAATACAGACTTCAGGCAGCCCGGTAAAGTTTGGTGTTGTAAGCAAAAATACATGGAAAAAGCCTGACTTACAGAGCCTGTATTTCTTACTTTCGCTATACGTAAGTGCTTGTGTGCTTATATCTATCAATCCTCTTTGTATTTTTGATATAAATAGCTGCTGCATGTAATGGACCTGATGAGTAAAGATAGCTGCTTTGGTGTCAGTGGAGGTCTTTGTACTTTTAACTCAACCACATCTTTTTTGTTGTGTGTGCTAATGACCTTTGCTCTAAATTTACTGAGTTTACAAACTGTTACTTTTTCCCACTAAAGATTTTTATTGGGGTGGATTACATTTCAGTGACGCTCCGATGTGCATAGTGGAAAAGTCAGGGAACAATTAGGGGAGAACGCAGTTGCAATTGATTAAACTGGGTTTTGTCTTTGGTGTCGTTTTCATTGACAAGCATAATACCTTGTGATGCAAAAAGCATTTTTTATGTGCAGTTGAATCCCTGGGTAATGTCTTCATCCACTGGGTAAAACTGTAAGAGAAAATAATGTAATAAGATATTACATTTATTTAAAAAGGTGTCATGAGCACACATGAATTTATTATCTTTACAAAAGCAGAGCATATGCACTTTTCTACCTTTGTGCATGCACACAATTTTACTTACAGCCATTATATCTAAAAAAGTTTAATGTAACAGACTGTGTTGGGTGGGTAATATAAAGTAAAACCATGAGTGCACATATTGAGTTGAAGAAAATACAGTTGTAAATTGTATATGCATATAGACATAATCCCTCCTACTGCTACAGTTTCCTGCATACTGCCTACTATATTATATACTGTAACGTAAAATAAAAGCAAATATGTCACAACCCCCCTAAAGCATGTGTGATGACTCTGTGTAACCATGAATGCATGGCCTTTAAGACTAATAATCTGGCATGTTTCCAAGGCATACACATAAAATAAGTTCAGTTGGGTCTCCTTATATTTTTAAGGAAAAAAAGATATACGTATGTGAAGTGTAGTGCTGTGCATGTGAGTTTGTGAGTGGGTGTGTGTCTGCGCCTCCCCACTCCCCCCAGGCTTACTCCATCAACCTCCCTTCACTAACAGCTGTCTCCCCTCATTTACATGCTCTCTCCACCCACTAATGGAATTAGCCACAAGTTTCCTGAGGTGAGGCAACACGCACAGACACAAAGACATATAGACACAACTGTGTGCACTGTATTTGTATCCATATACAAGATGTTTTTGCTTGTTCTATTTTTGTGTGTATGTTAGAGATGGACTGCAAAGGTCAAACAGAAGACACAGCTAAATTCAAAACTACTCTGTCAATATTCTGAAGAAAAATAAAAAAAACAGGGGTTTCTTCCGCATCAAAGGCCAGCCACCAGAAAGTTAAGCAGCAAAAAGAATAACCTAGGACAAAAGAGGAATGTCTAACAGAAACTGGTGAAGTCACCTCACCTGTTGTTTAGCCCATGCTTGATTTAGTGGCTCACACTCACATTTCTATGAATTTCATTACATTACATGTAGTGTCTCAGCTACAATCTGAGGTGGTGGCATTTAGGACAGTAAGTAATAGTAATGGCCACTTTCCATTCAATTATACAGCAAGTTAAAAGTAAAGAAAACTAGTGAGAACTAGTGGTTACTAGTGGCGTTGCTGGTGTCTGGGTACTATGCACTGTATAACTGCAGTGATGTCTCATGATAGAGTTAAAGGTGAACTGATCCAGATCCAAAACTTTTCCTTCCTATTCTTACCATAACCTTCAAAAAGTTTCAAAGCTCCTGCTAGTGTACACCTTTTTTTCCCTCTTTTTTTTTAACTGTCTCCTCTGGCCCTCTCCACCAATAGGGCTCTGTTTCCTATTGTTTCGTCCTTCATCTCTCTGTCAGCAGATCCCGTCCATCAATAGAGAACTGTCACTCACTAGAGCGACAATTGGCAGCTGTCGATAGTTTAGAGGGTCGCCAGTCTGTATATAGGCTTCAGCTCCTAAAATGCTATCAGCTGCCAATACAAACTCACACATGCACATGCACAGTGTGACATGCACAAGAGAGCAAAGACTCACACACGCGCGTACATGCCTTTTTCTCTTTGCATCCTCATCTCGCTTGATCATCGCTGACACAGGAAAATTTGGTTTGGTAGTAACGATATCAGATCAGATGAGGAAACAAAGAGCCACCTTCTGACTATTCAGTGTTTAGCAGTGTGTATGTATGCGTGCGCGCACACACACACACACACACACACACACACACACACACACACACACACACACACACACTTTATTGCACTGATAAAGGTCTTTGACACAGACAAGAGTCACTGACACATGGCTCCCCCTTCTGGAGACCTATAAGACCCTTGGCAATGACATTGCAATCCCCAGTTACACTGTAGCACATTAACATTCATTAATTGATTCCATCATCCATCTATTAATTTAATCACTCCTCCCTCTTTCTGCTATCCATTTCCCCTCACTTTATCATAATCTTTTTTCTTTTAGTTCCCCAGTCCTTTTCCCCCCACATAGTTTCTAAACTTGTATTGTTCCATCACACCATTTCCATCTTTGTATTTCTGTTAGATTTGAAAATCAACCAACAGAAGGTGGCAGATGATTACCGGTTGAGTTTTTCACTGATTTGGCTTCATTTTGATTTATTATGATATTATCCTCATTCAATACAGATATTTGGTGAGAGTCAAAATGCTACAAGTCACACATACAATGTGTCATAAAAATTCAGAATGTAAGACACTGCAGTTATTTAGACCATGTAGTATTTATGTAGTATATCCTAGTACCGTATTATCTCGACAGAGCACTTCAATCTCAGACTGCAGGCTTACTTGTGGTTCTTAGAGCTTCCAAAAGTAGGATAGGAGGCAGCACCTCAGCTATCAGGTCTTTCCTTTTTGGAATGTGCTCTCTTTTGATTCAGGACACTGACACTCTCTTATTTTACAGTTTTTCTGAATTGCTAAAACACATTTCCTAAAATATCATCTCTTTGTCTCAAAACACTAAACACAAACTGTAAAAATCAAGCTACACACACAAAACCTTCAACTTGTCTTGCAAAACCAAACATTTGATCCAAAACTATTTTAACTTTACTCAAAATTAACCACTACTGTCAAAAGCCACACAAAACCAGCCACTTAGCAACTATTACACACTACAGAAATAAATACAAAACACTGTGAAAAAGCAGGAAAATAATATTCATCTATTCATTCATTAATTCTTGTACTCACATTTTAACAAAAAAGAACTGCAATAAAAAAGTTACATATACATAAAAAAAAATTATATATTTTTACAGCATATTCAGATAATTTAATTTGCCTCAGCGTCAAGCCTCTGTGCTGGGTCAGGCCATAGGACTTCATCCACATCATATATTATGGTCTCCCTTGCAATGCAATGAGATGCCAAATCCAGCCCTAGCAAGATTCCAGTCCCATCTCACCATGCCCCAGTCATTGCTTGAAGTAGATTTGCCTGTGTGTAAGGGTTTCGGTTTATACTTTCCATCTCCATGCTGAGAAAAACTCCTCGATAGGGTTCATAAGGAAGAGTATGGTGGAAGAAACACACTGATAAAATGCTGCTCATTGTGAAACCAGTTGCATATTTTTGGACCATGGTGAAAGCTTACATTGTCCTAAATGACATGGGATGGATGCTCTGCCTTCTCACGATCTCTCTACTCAAGCAAAGCATCCCGTAGACCATCCAGGAATGTTGCTAGAAGTTCGGTGTTGTATGGCCCAACAGTAACATGACTGTGGAGAACCCCATAGCTGCTGATGGCAGCACAGATAGTTACATTTCCACTACGCTGGCCAGGCAGTTCATTAATAGCACGTTGACCTATGACATTGCAACCTTTTTTCCTCCTTTTTGCTAGATTCAATATGTATGTTGTCTTCTATAATCCACTGCTGTATTTCATGCAGTCGAATTGCATTATTCTGATGGACCATATCCACAATAAGTGTCTCCTGGTGTTGTGAGCGCATGCGTGTTCTCCCACACTCATGCGGCTATCCTTCAATTCTAAACAAAATACCATTTAGTTATAAGTATACTTGTATACATAGCACATGTATACATCATACTATTCATTCTTTTAGAGAACTAAAATTAGTTTGTTGTGTACAGAGAATCTTTGAGCTTGACTCAATGGTTAGGTCTCATGAATACATCTTCATGGATGAAGCTGTATTCAGTCTAGCAAAAAGCAGAAGAAGAGGTTGCAACATGTGTTTTACATTTTGAGTGGTAGTGTGTTAATGATGAAAACAGTGTGTTTTGTGTAAATGTGTTTGAGAATGTGTTTAGAGTTTTGGTAAATGGGTGATTCAGATTTGCAAATGAATAGTGTTTAAGATTTTGGCAACTGTGAAATTGATTTGATGAAAGAGTTTTCATAGTTGATGGTTTCGTTTTTACAATGGGATTTGGTGTTTTAGCAATTCAGAAAAACTGTAAGACTAGACTTAAAACTTTCCTGTTTAATAATGGATGTAGTTAGGACTGGATTTCATGTAAAAGATGGACTTAGCAACCATGATGTCATCCATTGCCTATATAGTAAAGGTCCATTGTGATGTGTGAAGACTGTTTTCACCTTTGTCATTTTGGTGTTTTCAAATCAGATGTGAGGCAGATCAAACCGAGAAATATATGGACAATGCACCTTAATAGGCTAGATACTTGCCAGTGACACAGTAAAGAAAACTCTTCATTACTGTTCTTTTTAACTTGAATCTTAATCTAAAATATGAGCTGCTATATTCAATAAGACTAGACAGATTTCTGAAGCCATAAACCCCTCAGGAGAGTGAGGTCACAACAGAGTTGAAGCTTTTTTTCTACTTCTTTACTATCTCAGTGTTTTGCAACCACAGTAGTTGATCCCTTCTACCCATCAGAGAAAAAAAATGTAGTCAATTCCACATTACTTTTAAGACACGGACATTAAGTCCATCTTGTACAATTTGTGTCACCTCTCACAAGACTATGGCATATATTAGAGCCTAATCAATAAGCGTACCAGTATTATTGTTCCAAAAACATCTTTTATATTTCTTAGACTCTCCCAATCAATGACAGACTAATTGTGATAGTAAAGAAATGCAAATATACACAAGTTTAGTTTAAAAAGGAACTACAGTTAGGTCAAAATTAGACCAGGTTGCACCATAAGCTCATGCCAGTTTATAGAATAATACTGTTTTGTTTATCTTCTGACTGCACATTCCTTGGATTTTGATTATTTTTTACGACCTCCTGCTTTTTTCAAAATGTTAAAGTTTCCTTTTTAAGAACACAGAAAAGGAAAAGTGACAGTGATGTGCCTGTCTGCTGTTCTTTACGCACATGGCGTCCATCCGTATGAGAAATGTGATTACAAATGAGAGCGTGAGTGAGAAAGCGGAGTGTCACAGCTGGCATGGCATCTGGCTTGGCATATCGTTGCCCGGCC